TTTTTGTAAAAGCATGTGAAAAAACTATAGATTCAGAAGACCTTAATCAGGAAGGCAAAAACAACTCTGGTAGACAGAATGTTAATGTTACTTAGGATGGTATCAGCCTAAAGATCCAAGGCGTGCAAATTCAGAGGAGTTTTAAAAGTCAGGGAACGTCGCAGTTTAGGAGGACTGAAAAGAAAGTAAGCATTAGTTCATCTTCATCATCATCATCGTCATCATCATCATCATCATCATCATCATCACGATTTAGCCCTAATGGCTGTTTGGTTTAATGGTTCACCGTTTTCTTGGTCTCCTGTGATCGCGTTTTCCAAGGGGATGATATTTCCATGCCTTTTGAGGAAGTCGCTGCTCCTCTATTCTATGTAGATGTTGGGGTCCAATTTATTTTATACTTTTGGATTTGATTGAGGACCAACGCAACTTTTAGTTCTTTTAGAATATCTTCTTTAGATTTCTTTTGCTATCAGTTTTCGTACAACCTTTTACTGGCCTCAGAAACTTCATCTCTGATGCCTGTATTCTGCTCATTTCTCTGTGTTTCAAAACCCAGCATTTGCTACTGTATAGCAGGGTAGTTGGCATTGCCATTGTCTTATAGAATTTCAACTTCTCTTCTTTTTTTTTTCCCTCAGATTATCTTGAACCACGAGAGTTTCTTTTCTGTATCTCTAATTGTATGATATATAGTTTCCTAGATAATTAAAATTGCTTACTTGATTCAGAACATTGTTTTCTATCACTATGTTAAATTTTATTGTTTCCTTCCCGCAAAATGCCATAATTTAGGTTTTAGATGTGGATATTTCACCATTATAATATCTAGCTATTTTGCTGAGCTTGTAGATATTGAGCTGAAGTTCATCTTCTGTTTCAGCAATCAGAACTTGATCATCTGCGTAAAAAATGAAATTTATAAAACAGTTTTCTGCAATCTCAATACCACAAGAAGTATAACAGTTCCATTCATTCAGCATTTCATCTATGTTCAGATTAAACCGCATTGCTGATAAGCTACAACCCTGTAATACTCCAAGGTTTATATTCAGAAATGTTTTGCCAATTTTGAAACCAGTGTCAATTGTTATTCCAGCATACAGACTTTTAATTACTTGGATGAGATGGTAAGGTACACCCTCCTTTATTAAAATTTCCCACAGCAGTGATCATCTTACTTTGTCAAACGTTTTCACAAAGTCAATAAAGGCTATGTGTGTTTCAAAATTGTATTTTCTTCTTTCTATTAGTATTTTGGTGTAAATTTGCTATCTGAAGAAGATCATCCTTTTCTAAATTTTGTTGTTCGCTGATGATGATGTCAGCTGTTGGTTTGTCTTTCTGAAAGAACGTATGTTATAACCAGCAGTTAGCAAACTTATTCCTCTATAATTTCCACAAACTGATCTATCACCTCTTTTATGAATGGGTTTTACAATAGCCATTTTCCACTCTTCTGGTATTTAACAATAGCTCCAGCATAGATTAATGAAGTACAACAGACTCAATGTCAAAGCAGCACCACCATATTTCAATAGTTCAATATTCATAGTGTCTATTCCTGCAGCTTTTCTATTTCTATTCATTTTCAAAGTACATTCTAATTCTTTCATAATTATAGGATCTATATTTTATGGTATTGTAATTTTCTTGGGTGTCTCCCTAGTCCTCTATATCACACCATAGTTCTTTATAGTACTGAAACCAATCTTGTTCTTTGATAACATTTATATGGGCTGTGACTTTCTCTTCTTTATTAAGATGTTTCTATACTTTGTAAGCATATTCTTGTCATCCAAGTGCATCATCTTCAATTCATCTTATGTAATAATCCCAGCTTTTCTGATAAGCTTTTCTAAACTTTTTCTTTGTTTTTACACATTTTCTTTAAAATCAAATTTCTTTTCTTGTGAGGGAATCTGCAGCATTTTCTTGTAGGCATTCCTTCTTTTCTTTTAGTGTCTTCGAGATCATTTGCCCAGATTTTGATGCCTCTTCTATAGTTTTTATACCTATAGCCAAGGGCTTTTTCTATTGCAGCCTCCACAGATCTTATATTTGCCCATTCTTCTTCTTAAAAATTGGCAGATTAATTGTCCAATGATGGTTAATATGATTTTCATATAAGTGTGATACACTCTCATCTTTTAATAAGTTTACTTTATATGCTACTCATTTCTCCTGAATATTTCCTTTTGTACTCTTTCTTTTCGAGTAGCACGAGTTAACAACATAAAAAGATTCTCAGGAAACCTCTTCAAATTTAGGGGGTTGTCTTATATTCTGAGTCAACATATGGTATATACTTATTTGATGAATTCAATATGTTCTTGCATACGTTGGAATAAGAGAAAATTATAAATCTTAAAATTTATATATTGATTTTTAAAACTAAAATTAGTAAAATCTTTTATTATTATTATTATTATTATTATTATTATTATTATTATTATTATTATTATTATTATTATTATTGTTAATATATCACTATATTATTACTATAAATTATTTATATAATTTGCATGCTCTCTAGTGTACTCAGTTAGAACTCACAGTTGATAACCTGTGTGAAACATCATGAGTATACTCAGGCTTTACATTGTGATTAATGGATCATGTTTATGCAGAGAAAGTTCTTGCCAGTAGACTTTTTAAAGTTGAAAATTACTACATCTTAATAAAACATTCACAGGCCATGGTGTTTGTGATCAAGCGACACGACAGTGCCTCTGTGAAGCCTTTTGGATGCAGGACTTAATCGCAAAGCATTTGGGAAGTGGTGACTCCAATTGTGGTGAGCAGATATTATTTATTTATTTCTAATTTGTCCATTTTTACTATTATTAATATATTTAAATAACTCGTTCAAAGATTCTATCCTGGTGAGGTAGTAAAACGTTTAAACAATAATTCATACAAAAGTTTTCCAAGAATTTTTTACATTCCGTAGCCCACCCATATCTCCTACACAATGAAAAATGTGCTTATAATAGCTTAATTTTTATTATGGATATTTATTTATTTAATTATTTGTACATTCAATGAACAATGAGTCAGTTTTCTGATTTCTCAGATCCGACTTTCAAGGCAATATGAATGTTTTTCATCTTCTGATTTTTTAAGTTTCTTGCTTTTTGGCTTAAAAAAAATATATCAAAGGCAAAATTCTTTTAAATAGTTGACCTACTCCCTTTCAGATTCGGTACAGAATTTTTCACTTTTGCTTTTTGAGGCCAAAACATCATTTGGCAAATTCAGAAATGAAGGCATAAAGGTGTTTATTTAAAGAAAAGTATATATAACAGAAATTAGTAAAGAAAAATTACAATGACCTGTATTTAATATTGCTGTCAGCGTAGCTCAGCGTGCTCGCTTTCCAAGACATGATCCTGGGTTCTATTCCTGGTCAGGGCAGATTATAGTGTGCGGTTTCCTTGTAATGTCCCAGTATCTGTTGCTGTGTGACAAGAAAAGTTCACTTCTCAGGTTGAGAAGACCAGAATACAGCATTAGGAATGTATACGTTCTAACCACTCGTACCCGAACTCGTCTGCATGGTTGGGACGCTTCTGGCTGACCTTGAGCCCATCAGAGGCTGTTGTGCCAGTAGACAGACATTATTTAATAATATTATCTGACCTGTGAGAAATGATACAATTAATGTCCATGTTGCAAAGTCAAAACAGATTTGACAGTGGTCTTTTACATCCATGGCCAACATCATGTGTTTTCTCTCAGTTGTCCAGATGTGATTGAATTTCAATTTTTGACTCGGTATTACCTGGACAAGCAAATGCTAACTTACTCCTCGACAGAGCTCCCCAAATGTTTTAGTCTTTCTAAACTTGATTTATTCATTGCCTTAAAAATTACAGATTGGAGTATTCTGTACGTGGTAATTGTGCTGTTTACGGGCGTTGTGCTAATAGTTGGAGGAGGCTGGGGCATTATTTGTTTGTGCCAAAGAGCATGCACACGTCGCCCAAGGAAAAGACAGAAGTATGCTTTGTTGGGAGATGATGGTGAAGATGACGCTATGATACCTAGAGGTAGGTAGAAAGTTCTGTGATATCATGACAACGTTCATAATTTTTTTGATTGAGGTAGTGCCCCTTAAATTTGGCTAAAAAATGGAAATCTGGGATAGAGTAATAATGAATTTCCATCAATTAGTTTTTATTTGTTTACTTTATAATAGAGATCCATATTAAAATAACAGTGGTATAATGTTCAGTAAAACTTCTTTCAAAGACCACCCCTATTTAACAACCACGTCTCTCATTGGCCAATTTTTCTTGAAACAGAAACTGAAACCTGCATTCTGTCCCCCTGTTAACAGACTAATGCTCTCCCCAACCACCAGCCCCTGAGAAGCAATTTCCTGAATTGACCCCTTTCAGGAAAACTAGGCATACAGTACCTCGAATTTTCATTAGTTAAAGTGAAAATTGATGTAAAAATAAATTTTTGCAACATGTCCTTTGCCTCAGCATCTTTCTTGAGGAAATCAGTGCAGTGGTATCTGGTAATCAAGTAACAATAAACTGTGGCCACTTATGTGGAGGGTACCTCAACTGCTTGCTCTTTCTCAGTTTTATTTCTTTCAATGAGTCGGTAGATATGAAAGTGATCTATGATTTAATTCTTTGAATTAACAGAGCCTTTCTTATAGCACCTTCACGTAAGAACATCTGATATTTTACGTGAATTTCATGAATTGCGTGTGTTGATATATTTTATTGTTCGTTACCTTGTTCATAATTTATCTTAATCATCAAGCTCATTGTTAGAAAGGCATAATTTGTCAGCTGGGACTGTTGTGTTTGTGTTGCCTTCAGAGGCACCTGATTCTGTATGGCTGGAGTATACATCCGATGGAGTTTCACCTTCAGAACTATCACTATCCACACCTAAGTTTATTATTATATTTTGAATGGCTTCTTCCATCAATCAATTTCAACGCCAATATTCCTCTATAATTTCTTTAACCTCAACTTCTCTCAACCTCTCACAAGCTTTTTTTGTAGTCTTCCTGTGTAATGCTCTCTATTGCTGCCAATGGAAGAGAAACACTGCTGGCACTGTTAGGGGGGCTTTTTTCTTTTTCTTTTCCCAAATCAGTTTAATGGGATTGAAGTCGCAATCATATGGAGGTAGGCATAAAACTGTAAATCCATGCTCAGTTAATGATCTGCTGTATGTATTGATTTAGGTTTGTGACATCTCATTCATTTTAATAGTTCATCTCTTCTTGGATCAGGATTCTATTTCTGTTTTGCGTGATGATTTGAAAGCTTTATTTTGTCTTACATTGTGATACAATGTATTATCCAAAACAATAATACTTCCGTCTGGAATATTTGGTATTAAACACTCTGTTAACCATCTGTTGTAATCATTGCTGTTCATAATTCATGGTAATAGTCGCCAGAAGCCGATTTCAAATCGTAAATAAGCTCTGAACCCTTCATAAATCCTATAACCCCCCCTGCATGAACTACTATTGCTCTTTGGCCAGGGCTGTCATTCTTCAGTATACCAGGTACTTCAGTGTGTTTATTTACAGTGTAATGAGTGTGAACCCAAGCTTTATCGGTGTAAATCACTGGTGTTCAAGTACCCTTGTTGTTTTCTCTCAGAGTTCTAAAAAACGTTGCAAAGCGTTCAATAATGTTCCCTCTCTTCACTAAAATTGATCTTCAATTTTTGCATTTTTTAAAATTTAAAACCAATTTTCTTTAATGTTATCCAAAATGTTGTGTGAGAAGTTAATAGCTGGGTCTTCTTTAACTGGATTTTAGAGTTTTTGAAGAGTTGGAATTTCACGCTTTACCTCCGTATGATATTCCAAAAATGTTCTTTTCTTTAAACATTTATCAAAATCATCTAAAAATACTTGTTTCTTTCTCAGTCTCTTTTTTCTCGGTGTCACTACTTTTTGACCACTCTGTTCTACTTCTTATACATCTTTTACTACATAATAAACTGTTCTTAAACTCTTTCCTACTAACGCTGCAGCTCTTTCTACAGGTCTTTCTGGTGGTATTAATACCCCCCTTTTTCTTTTCCTCATGGCAATAGTTCACCACGTTACTTATAATTAACTTACTGCCAGGTGGCATTCTCCCATACCGAAGTGGATTTGATTTTTCCGCAGGCGACACAGAAATGACAAAATCAAAACAAGAGCTTCTTCCCCGACTGTCTCAGCTGGCATCAGCGTTGGTTAGATGCTGATTGACATCGGGGCCATTTGTGTATTCTTGGTTGTGTGTTCTTGCAAAACAACAGTAGTTCCTAGTTCTGCCCTCGGTAAATGTAAAATGAATAGGATACAAAAGTCTATTCACAATGAAAATTAAATAACAGTGCTGCTGCTGCTGCTGCACAATCTTGATAGTCTGTATGTCATTAATGTATTTTCAAATAATTTTCCAACAGATTTTGATTAACTTGTGTTATTTTTTTTCAGTATCTCAAGGCAAAATAATGCTGTCCGATACAGATTCGGACTCTGAGTCTGTACTGTATGAAAGTGGCAAATGTAAGCTGAATGGAGAGTCTCGAAATGGCCATGGCAAACCACGCAATGGCTTCGTAAAATCAGGTCGCAGGATTAAAACATGAGAAGATCAAGAAAAGAGCGGATGTCAAAGGGACATATATTGATGCCTGAAGAGACGAATTTTGTGTCCAGTAAGTATGTAAAAAGTATCGTCAGAGTGAATGAATTTAGAACAGGGTGATTATATATTGTATTATATGCTATCATATTATATATCATGTTGGGCGTGTATTGATTATATTTTCAGTACACTTTGTTGATTGTTTCTAGCCATACAATCAACAATTTGCTAATTGAATATTTCAAATGCTGCTATACAATTCTAGCCTCAGACCTGAGATACTGTTAGGTGACACAGAACAACTGTAATATATAATGTTTTTAATTTATTTACCATAATACTTAATTTTACTTTCCCCATCATATTTTCCATTTTCTCACAAATATTGCTGAACTGAAGTTGTATATTGACAGTTGCAGGTGATTTTGACTAGAGGTAATTTTTGTGTTGAATTGGGTTTTGATGTTCACAACTAGATGCAATACACCTACTTCGTTGCTTTTCTTTCCATGACATAACTGAGGAAGTAATGAATTTTTAAAAACTGGGATGCTAACTGATTTTGTTGATATATTCTTCCAAAGAGAATTAAAGGGGTCTTTTCTTTCAAGTTAATTTCATTCTGTGAATGAGGAAGTAAAGACTTGATGTACGTTTTGAATTTTTTTACGTATGTTGGTGGGAAGAAATTTAGACTACTATTTGCAAAGAATGAGTGTGTTGTGATGCATTGTGGTGATCTGGTAATTCTGAAAGAAAAAATATTGAAGACCAAAACTGTTTTTTAATGTATATGGTACTGTTGTTGTCTTTTAATGAAGTTGAAACATATGATGCATACCATTTAACAGCAGCTATTTTATACACATATAATAGTATGTGTCTCATTTTTCATGGATTTAATTTTTGACTATTTATGTAGCCATGATAATAAAACATGGCAATAATCAACGACATCGATATAACCAGTAATATATGTTAAACACATTCTATGGACCATAGTACTTACATTTGAAATGTTTGTATTGTAGTAGCATTTGCTTAATGACTGGTCTGATATTATTTCTTACTTTTTGTACATACATGTACGTTAATGATTCTTTTTGTACTTAGCGATGCCTAGAGCTTTTTTTTTCTTTTCTTAGAGTGTTTAGAAATTTTAAAAAGTTTCCTCTGATACATTTTCAGTATTTGGATGTAAAAACTTGTCATGTGCATGATTTTGCCAAGTATATGTTATTGAAATACATAATTTTTGATTTAGTTGTAGAAATGCCATTTAATAGTATCGTAAGAATATTTTGTCACATCACTACTTACCTTTTATAAATATGTATTTTACAGTATATATATATTTATGTGTTGCACATGTAGTATGCTCTAAAGCTTTTCATATTAACATGAAATCCTTGGTGTAAACAGAATGTGAAATAGTATCCACCTTTGTCAAATGTTTAATGTCTAGTCATTTAAGTTACTGTGAACAATGTAGAGTTACTAATGAGAATATGGCAAGAGTTGCCACTTGGAGCAGAAAGAATAGAAAAAGAGAAATAATATTTGCAAAGAAACTGAATGTTATAAAACAACACCTGTACGTGAGGTTTTTGAGAATTTTACAAATGCTTTGGCCTAGTGACTTGCAATTGTTTTTTCTATATTTTTTTACAAGTCTTGCATTTGTGATGTTTATTATGATCAGTATTGATGTAAAAAATGTATTCCATAAACATTTGATTTCCTGGCATTCAGAGACTATTTTGTAAAACACTGTTGGAGAATAAAATGTATTTCTTGTTGCTGCAGATAGTCAGTTTCTTCGTTGTCATTGTGTTAGCTGTGAGAATTCAATGTTCAATTGGTCTTCATAAGGCCATTATACTCAAGACACGATAAACTGTGCTTTCTAGATGGTATCCTTTTGTGCCTAACAACAATCTGGAAGGCAGAAAGAATTTTTACAACTATAAAAGGCTCAATGGCCTTGATTCACAAGGTGACTTCATAGAATGCCGTGCTGTGCAGACAATGCTGGCTTTGGATGGCTGTGCACATGTGGCACTGCCACCAGCTACCTAGTATTAAGTTTAAAATGCAGCAGCATTGGCTGTTTGCATGTGACAAAATGCCTTGTGATCCACTATTAAGATGTGCCACAAAACTCTTATAGATAGCATCACTTGGTACAGTTCATCAGGAAAGTGTCTCTGCAGTGGCACCTTGTTGGTCAAAGTGCTATTAACATAAATTATGTTGGTAGCAACTGCATCTTGTAACAAAAACTTAAATTGTATACTCACCTCAAGCATTACAGATAATGGAGGTGTTGTCCCCTTTCATTAGTTTTCCATTGATCTGCTTGCTACCAATATAAATTCCTGGCACATTGTGTGTAATCAACCACGAACATATTGATTCACCTGATTCTGGAACTAACGATGTCGGTTTACCTCTAGACATTTGAGTTCAGTGCAGTCTACTTTGTCTTCTTAGTGGACTCCAAAGAGTTTTACTCCTCTGGAATGTAATGGGTGAATTTGAGAACTAACATACTTGTTTACGAAACCGTGATCAGTCCAATACCACATGCTGCCCACACCTCCAACCTTACTCGAATAATGGAGTATACAGTTTTGAAGAAAGTCACAACATGTTTTTATGATTTACAAATCTTATGAGAAATACCCAAGCCATAAACACATCAACATATTCTTTGTCCTACATGCAAGTTTATATCAGTAACAGTCCATAGGTTTGCAGTAAATGGTAACCAGAATGAAAGAAACAAGACTATTTTGTATGTTTTGCAATGGTGCTGCTACTCCAGCCAGTTCAATTACTATTTTTCTAGTCAACTTTAACACATGATTTAAGTCGTATTTAACCTGAAGTGTAGTCTGTTCCTAGATATTCTTGTCATGAGTTTCATGGGATGTTTGAAATCTGGTCAGTTCTACTGTAGATATTGTGATATCCGAGGATATGGTCTCAACGTAAATCAACGTGGAAACATTTCCTTGAAAAATTGCAGTTTTTATACTAAGTTCTCCTATCTAGAAATGAAATTATCTTCTGAAAACCTTGAAGATTATTTCTGATTGTTGTTATAATGAAGTAGATCGTTGCAATTGGACTAAAATGTGTTAATATCACTGCAGGTTTTGGCATAATTGAATTGAATTAGAAGGTACTGAGATTCCAGGTGGCACTGGCTGGGGCATAGTAGATTGTTTAGGATATTCCATGAATTTTAGATTCCTCAGCCTTCATTGTAAATCTGAATTGATTTTCTCTTATGCAATTATTACGTTTTGAATATGACAACACAACTTCTTTGGTTGGTTGTAAACCTTGACTACCACCAGTTTACAAGCTTCAACTGTCTTCTGTACTCTTAACATTAATAACTAAGTCAGATCTCTTCTACATCTACAATTCTGTCGACTTCAATAATTTGTAAAATGTTCACTTAATTGAAATATCTAGGAGGGGTGACAAAGGCAGATAGTAACCTTGTAGCAATGTTGGTTATTTTTTGAAGTGAAAAACAAGCCATCATATAATACTGAGAAATATCTTTAATACATATGATTACAAGCACCTTTCCATGACATTTACACCCTATATATATTTACGCTTGGAACTTCTTGAACAAATAACAAATCAATCCCAATGACTGTGTAAAATGCATTTTTACAAAAATGTACAAGAAAATGGAATGTCAACAACAGTAAGTGTGACGTGACAACACAGTAATTTACAAAGGAACACAGTTTATCTATTTTTCATTTCATCAGGACACTCAAAATTATTTGTTTTATACATATGCTACAAAACATGGACACTACTAACATCTTCAGAGAATGTACAATTACAAACAACAATAATTATCATTACAAATCTAACTTGCCAGTAACACCTTCAACCCACTCACTATCAGAACTAAAAAATCTGAAACACCTCTAGGCTTTAGCTACACTGGTGACTGAAGTTGATTTTGGGGTAGATTGCGTTTGCGATTCTTTTTCCAGTTGCTTGCCAAGATACTCCCTAAAAAAACAACAGATTTGTCAGGATGACTGCATACATCTGAACATGATTAAAACACAGAGGACAATTAAAATAATTATCTTATGTCATTAAAAAATCATTTAATCATTTAAATAACTGAATAATAGAAGTGCTGAATTAAACTTCATTGCAACATTAATTTTATAGAATCATACACAAATAACTTAAAAAGAAAAAATAGCAAAGAAAATCCTCGAATGACTTTGATTTTTTCATCAGTGGAAATATTTATACAGAAAACCTGTCTAATTTAGAACTGACAGTCCTTCAGAAATTTGCATTTTGGCCAGCCATCTGTTAAACAGGTTGCCAAAAATTCACCATATAACTTAAGTACAGAATGTTTTATATAAATTTTGTTAGTGAACAAAGTAATGAAAAATGCCATAAATTTACAATCAATAGTGAACTCGGGAAAATATAGACAAGCATTTATTCACATACACCAACTTAATTAAAAAACAGACTGACTCACTTCCACATAGCTTTCCCACACTATTCTGTTAACATTCAAGCTACTTTAGGATAACAAGACAGCCTTGACAGCCTTCCCAGCATTTCCATCAAGGAAATGCAGTGCTGCTTTTGTGAATTTAATGGGCTTCGGACGACCAACATTAAGGATTCGGAGCACCAGCAACAAAGTCCTGGCAGCAGCTATAAGAGGAAAATCTTGTCGTTCACTGTAGTGTCTCGGGACATGACCCTTCACACTATGACATTCCATAGACAGTGCCGTAAATTTAGCATTAATTCCCTTTTTAGTTGGGTAATAATCACTTTCCAGGCTTACAGAGATAATTTTCACATATATAAACGTTCTGTTTTGAGATTTTTTTTGTCCGGGATGGCAGGTTTCAGTCTTAGTCAGGTTTTCCTGTATCTTGAATTTTTTCACAACAAATGCCCACAAAACATTTTTATGCCTGCAATCTTTCCTGTCCTGAACATTCATTACCACAATTTAAAACCCATTTATGGCAATTTTTTATTTGAAACAATTGTTTTTAAATTTTAGATTAGCACATAAATTTTGCAAAACTAAGGATATAGTTCAGCATATACTTTCTCACATTATTTGAAACTTTTGTAATTTTTGAAATGTCAATCAAGAGATCAATGAAAATGAAACTTGCTCAATATTTTTTGAAGTTTTCTTTGCTCTATCTAAAGAAAAAAATCTTACAGAAAACATTAGAAGCAAATTTTGAGAAACATTTTTTGTTCATAAATTGCTTCTGTTTCAAGCAAAATTTGCATGAAGACTACCCATATTTTCAAAAACTTGTACATGACCTTATTTGAAGATTAATTTTTAGAATAGATTTCACATAGGTAAAAAATGTCTTGTTTAATGTTAATATTTGGACTACAAAAACTGTTCACTGAAAATGAGACCGACAGTTTTTTAAGCATCCTCTGCTCTATCTGAGAAGAGAAAAAGTTAGTCCTTTGAAGTTAGTCGTTAGAAAATTTTGAAAATGTTATTGAGGCTTCATCTAAAGAACCCACCAAAAATCAAATCATCCTTTTCACTCGCAGGGCCATGAGTTCGGCTAGATTGATTGGAGAATATCATTTTACAGAACACTAAGCAGATTGGTGTTGCCCACAGATGTTTTGCGATAACAAATTTTTCTGTATCCCGGACCCACTAAACAGCAAGGAAGCAATTTATTACATAAGATTTATGCTCTTCTTCAATGACAGAGTCCCACAATGTGAGTTTTTCTGTTGAAAAATCTATCTTTTTTGCTGCAGCATTACGATACTTTCTCTATACTAAATGCAAAAAAGGAAAAAGAAACTTTTTCTTCCTCTTTATCACTGAAATGAGATCTCTTAATAACCTTTACAATGGATCACAAATATGACAATACTTTTTGGCCTATCCATTCTATCGCAACTCTGTGTGTGGTGGGGTGTTGTGTGTGTGTTTTTTTTCCTAAAACAATGTTCAAAATAAGCACACATGCACAAGTTCTTAATGTTAATCAGACATATATACCATACATACCAGTTGTGCACCATAAGTTTCTGCACAGCCAACAGTGCTTCATATCGCACGTTGGGGTCATCATGCCCCAGCAACTGCATCACAAGTTGTTTACCGCCCAATTGTTCTATTACACTGCAAATCAGAGGCAGGCATTTAGTATTAGCTCATTTCAAAATCTACTAATGGCTAATAACAGGAAAAAAGATCTGTAACATTGGTTGAGGCAGGCTGATATACATTTTCTATTACAAAGACACAATATTCATTCAAAATTATGAATCATTAATTCACATTTAACAAGGTTCAGCACACATTTTTTCTCACAATCGCTGGCTTTTGCGGGACAAGGTTTGACCTACACTTGTAAACCTTACATATGTAAATTCAACAAGGTAAGAAGAATAATAGTAAATGTTTACAAATATAAAAAAAAAAGACTTTTCTTATCTTCTGCACAAACAGACACCCCGTAGGTGCATATACTGCAGAGAAATTTTTAGTCTGCATCCTGCCCATTTGTGTTAATTCAACGAACTGGTAACACTTTGTTCAAGATTCTTTCTATGAAATTACCACAATGTGCTCTTCCAATACCTCCTCAATATGCAAAGTTATATTCTCTATTTGTCTTAATTTGCATAACTAACTTCTACAGCAGCATTCAAGTTTGCTCTTATTGAGGCATCCTGATTAGTGGTTTCAAGACAACATAAGAGCTTTGGGCACTCTTGAAATTATTCAGTTATCCCCTCATTCACCTAAGAAAAATTTTACCACAAGTATGGTTTTGACTTACTTTTTGCCACGGGGATAGTGGCGAACATATTCTCCAATATCATAACTGGCAACACTCAGAACCAGAGGATCATTGCTAGTTTCAAGAAGATGAATCAGAATACGCAAAAGTTCATAGTTCTTTTCATTCAGTTTTGCAGCATTTTCACGCCAGAATTTGGCAGATTTGTGAACTGGACTCCACTCCAAACGACCTGATTTCACTTCTGTGGCATATTCATCAAATGAGCTGAAAAAATTACAAAACGCAATTAGAAACAATGCACAAAAGTAAAAAACCTAGGAAAAAAAGTTACATCAAAGTCTTTCCTTATATACTGTAACACCAGATGGTTCATTTAACAGATTAAAGACACATGATAGAAATAAATGTTACTTATGTCATGGTTACATCATGATTCAAATTATAAAGAATTACCTGAGATCCTGGACAGATGCCTGAAGCTTTTCATCCAAAAACTCAATATCACCAACAATGTCCTCATCATCAAATTTCCTCTGTTCGAGAATACTCAACTGTTTCAACACTTTGCACTGCACCATGGCAATACAATGTTCCTTAGCTACTTGGTTGTCTTCAGGCTTCTCAATAAGGTTCTACAATGTTATGGCATACAAGTATAAAAATGAAAGACAAGTTTGCCACTCTTACATCATAAAATTTGATACTACTGTGTAAAAAATAATAATAATAATAATAATAATAATAATAATAATAATAATAAATAATGACGTACCCTAAAGACAGCCAGAATAATGCGAGTTACTTTTTCCTTGACAGAATCACTAAGAATGTCTGCAAGAATCGGAATGACATTGAACCTAAAACAGAAAAACTCTTCTAAACATACGTCTTTCAAGTGTCAAGACGATTATAAAAATAGAAGCATTATAAGAACAATTGTTTGTCCTCTTTATGTAGATTAGAAACATTTTATTTCACTCAAAGTTGTTTTTGGAAAAATAGGAAAATCTGAAAAAAACATGTATCAGGCTGCAAAACATGGAAATGGTTTATTGTGTCAAAAAATATGCTTTCAAAGGGCAGTACCCAAGCTCAATGAAACAGCAATGAGATTTTATGTGATGCTAGTTATATGCTCTACACAGTGAGGAGTACTTGATGAAGAGTAATGCTGGTTTTTTGAAGGCTATGAATAGTAATCTATGCATAATTTAAAGTACACAGATGTCAAATATAATGAATTTCCTGTAATAATTACGCAATGTGCCTCACTATTATGACATGTCAACGTTATGGTGCATTATTTTTAATGTAAAAACTTTTTTATAGTGACAAATATTATCAAACTTTTCTTGGGTACCACACAATGCTAAATTCAAGGCAGGGGAAATGGGAGAGAAAAAAAAACAGAATAGAATCAGGTGACCAATGGGCACCCTGATTTCTATAGATGCTTTTTAATGGTGTAGAAAAACAGGAAAATTTGTTAATTATTTTAAAATAGAACTCATTTTCTTTTATTATTTACATTGATGTGTAAGAATAGTAAACAAGTTTTATCATTTTGTAGAAAACTAGTCAGGACTTGCTTGAGCATGTTGAAATGCTTGCTTACTTGTTCATCTTTTCAGCAAGAAGTGGATTGAAAGTGAGAACCCACAGGCAGAATATCAACTGGTACTGGATTTGAAAATTTAAGCGGCTTTGCAAAATAGTCAGTATTGTGGAGATTCCATCCACCGCCACAAAAGCAAAGCGATACTCGTCAACTCTGAGCATCATCTGAAGACATCTTGCAACTGACTGCATGTATTCGTTGTTCTGAGATGAAAAGTAATTCACTTATTACCACAAAAGTAAAGAATACTTGGGAAGAAAACATTAACAGGAATTAAAAACTTTTTCCTGTAATAAAAATAATGCTAGTAAATGTCTCTTAAATTATGTATCTCCAACACTGCAAAACTCAGAGATTATTAGATACACTATTAAGAAAACAGACATTCAATTTGTATAATTACAACTAAATATCAAATTTTTTACAAGGGAAGACCAATGATGAGCAAATTTCATCAGAAATATGAATAAATTCTGTAAATTTATCTTACCTCGCCAAGTCAAAATAAAAAAATCCCACCAAAGTATGAGAGCACACACTCGCAGATGTGTGAGAAATTATGAGTTCATTAGAACATTTAATTGGAATACATACATGAAGAAAACCTGCATTTGTAGGAGGCAAAGAAAGGAATTACGTTGCTGCCCTTCCTAGAAGTATGCACCAAACAATGCTGCTTTCCCTGTTACTTAAATATAAATGGAGGAAAAATATAAACCTACAAGTATCAAAAAATCACTGTCTCTAAAATCAGGATATATTTTATATTCATCTGTCAGAGAAATAAATAATTTTATAACACTAAAATGTTGAATATAGATATGAAGGGAAAACTGCAGTCGATTGACTCCACGCTTAGATATGCAGAGAAAACTGCAGTCAATTGACTGCACGCTCATTGATCTTCCCTCAACTTCACCATTAGTACATAATTATATAGCACCTTCAATTGTGTCATTCGGAAAATTATCTTCTAGTGTAAAAATTGAAAGGAAATCTCCAAAATATAAGGACCAACTCCTCTTTAAAGTTTCCTGAAAATAAACTGGCTTCCTATTGATATGAACTTCAGTTTTCCAAGCATTTTGTTCACTTGCAAAACAATTTGAAATCATAGCAGAGAAAAGTAAGGCAATTAAACAATCCATTTGAGATGGAAATTAAGTTGCATTTTTATTTGCAAAGAAAATCAACAACACACTTCTCAATTGCTTGCCTTTTAAAAATTAATGTAGTGGCAATATTCCTGTATCAGAAGCCATAGTTTTGCTAATGATCTGAAACTATTACAACTACAAATCAACACTGATACAAACCAGTTTTGGAAATTTTTTTTTTTTTTTACTTTAAAACTTTTGGGGGTCTTTAATCTGTATTATTGGGACTTGAATGTAACCTTCAATTTAGATGAAAGGACAAAACATTGATGTTTTAGCGCCACAATTGAGGATGCACTGAAAAAAAAATAACAATAAGAACAACCACAACCAGCCTTCTCTACTGATCAACTGCCAGCATACTACGCGATGGCAGTATCTATGGAACCAAGTCAACCAACCATGAGCTCTTCATGGCGCGGAGATGATTCACCAGATGGTTCAGATTCTGAAGTGGGAGACTCAGGTATATCCATGGCAGCGTTCAGGGCAAATTCCTTTAACGCGTCACTCTACAAAAAGACAATTAAGTCGCAGAACAAAACATGACAGCTTCACCATTTCTTCTGCACCTCATAGTTAATCCGTTCCCCAGTGGAAGAGAAACACTTAAAGCTGGGAGATGGCAGCAACTATTTAGATTCTCACTACTGTGGCAACATGGAAAATCTATAAACTAATTGGTGAGGCAAGTTTGTGGACCATTTGTACACCACCACAAATGCATATCCAATTGAAGAGCACTTCAATAAAATATTCTCCCACATTCCAGACACCAAAAGTTAAATAGAGAAATTACAAAACACTCAGGCTAGTCAAATATGAGGTTAATATGAATTCTGCTCAAAATAATGTTGACCACAACATTAAGGGTATTACCTAAAATTAAATATCTAAAATTTTAGCTAATGTTATGATAAACTTTCTCCTTCAAAAAACATTTATTTCTTTGTGTCTCAAATTTCCCTTGTTAACCTCTTATTTGGTAAGATCACTACAACATAAAGAAAAAACAAAGCTGGAGTAAAAGAATAAACAAAAGCACAAACATGTTACAACAGAGGATTTGCTAATGAAATAGTATCAGCTGTAGAAAAGTCACGTAATGAGATCCAAATCCATAAACCTGCAAGTCAAGAGACTGAAAATGCAGATCATGCTGTGCCAATCTCCAAATCATACACCTTTGTACCAAATCCATAGAACAGCATTTGTGAGTACACATTTAAACCACAATAAATTATCACTAAAATAAAAAAGATCAAGTCAAGACTAAGAAAAAATATGATTAAAGATTTGAAGACTCGCTAATTTCAGGTTTTGTTCAAAATTATTGTCCCAGAGAACACAGAAAGAACTAACGTTTTATAATACTTTATAACATCACATTTTCTTAATAATTATTCATGTACGTTAGTCTGGTATTACAATAATAATTTAACAAACAAAAGACAAAGTTGTAGCTGTTAAATACATAAATAAAACTTCATAGTAGAAATACTGTCATGAGGACAGAAACTTTTCAAAATTAAGTTATTAATAATTATTTAAAACATGAAATCAATGTCTCTTTGTAAGATGAATGCTTAATATCATTTATGGACAAAATAGTGACCTGGCCAGTAACTCTTTTACAGTAAATTACCACAACAAAGTGAATATTGTATAAAAGGAATAGCTATCAGATCACAAGTTTTCTGAATTTATAGAACAATAGAAGATTTTTTTATTAATAAAAAGTTAGTATTCTAAAACAAAGAATATTAAGGTCTGTTATAATGTTTATTTTATTGAAATGGTTTCTTGACTTCATAAACAGACTCGATACTCTGCATACTCGATACTATGATTTCTTTATGCATATGTAAACTCTGATGTACTTAGACTAATTTTCAAAAATGATGTGCATCATATCTACATTTGTAAACAGTGAGAATCTGTAACCAAATTTTAAATAAGCAACTTGTGTCATACCAGTTGACCGAAAGAAGTTGACAATTTTATCATTTTTTATATAAATGACAATTTTTTATCAAATTACCGTTTATTTATGATATGATGACAACAAACTTGGACACTGAGTATATCATAATTTGTTTTATTATTATTATTATTATTATTATTATTATTATTATTATTATTATTATTATTATTATTCAATTCCTCTTAAAGCATCGCTTTATTAGATAAGTGTTACTATTTTATTGATAATTCTCCATTATTTGAATATAACACAGATTTTTTAAAAATAACCCCATAGGGTGGAAATGTCAATTGTAAATAAATTGTTATAAAAAATTAGTGTTTATAAAGGCCAAGAAACCATTACAATAAATCTAGAACATAAAACTAACATAAATTTAAAGTAACATCTGAACATACAGACAACGTGCCAGCTGTGTTATTGTCAGTGAGGTTATTGATCAATTATTGTATTAATAATTGTTTTGTAAAAGAATTATTTTAGAAGTATCTTTAAAAAACACTGAGAAAATTCATATTATATTAAATATCTGAGGTATTTGTTCTCAAAACCAAGTCATTCTTTGTGGGAAAATTTTACACAGCTAATAAATTATCCTAGCTTTTATACATGGTTTGATATGATCAGGATTCATTCTCACCATACTTTGGATGGGAACATGATGGATGTGAACTATGCCTCTTAGTGAGGTTATAAAACACTCCTTAAACAAATGCAAAAAAGTGGATTTTGGGAAATAATAAAATTAAGTTATTTTGATACCAAATACCTCATTTAAAATATAAGATAATTACTACAAGTCTCTAGAATGTAAATTAATAGTTTTAATTCACAATGACCTCTACTTAATTAAACTATTATTTTTCTCATCTTCTTATTACTATTCTTAAAATGAAGTATTAACATTTATCTAATAATGAGTAGATGGTTACTTTGACAAGTATAATGAAACTATTGAAATTAGTTGCTATCAATACTTATATTTAGTTTTACAAAATCTTTGGTTTTACAAAATTTAGAATGCTGTAGTTTTCTTCTATTTATTCCAATATCTCTATTATTTGAAATCCTAAATTTGAATCTACCTAGCAGTGGTGTAGACCCACCCAAAGCAATAAAAAATGAAGATGACATAAGAAATTGAGCTTAAAATTTACTTAAGCCTGGCCACTGCTGGAAGAGAAACACTAAAGAAGATTTTTTTGACCTACAAATTATTTTTTAATTTTGCAATGGCTAGACTCAGGCTTATTTTAAGTAAACAGTTCAGACCAAATGTCCAAAGCCTAGTTACCGACTCGAAACTGCACACGCAAAGCAAGTCGACTTGATCATAAATTTGCAATTTCTAAACTCAAAAGTTGTTTTGGGTTGCCTTACTTTAGTTTTGTGTCAAAAAACACAAACACTACAAAAAGCACATTATGTGAAACATGAGTGGCCAAGCTACAGTAAACAATAACTGAATTCTAATTTGAAAATGAAGTTTGGGATATTTAATATTATGTAAAGGATTACCGTTTGTTTTAACTGATCTTTCAGCCATGTTAAGTAAAAGTGTAGGTCAGATCTATCCATAGGCTCTTTGCTCCAACATGCTATCTTAGCAATAATCCTTGATGTCATATTTTGAATGAACCCATCAGGACGATTCAGTAAATTCAAAAAGGGTGTCCAGACAGATTCCTTCTTTCGCGCAGCATGCTCTCTGAAAATTTCCACTCGAGAAGGTTCTTCCTAAGATAACAAAATAAGAAACAATGGGTCAAGGCTGCAAGAATAAAATAGAATATGGTATTATAAGTTTCAAGATATACTACCTGAAACATGTCATCAATCAATACAAGAATATGCTGAATAGTTTGATCCTTTGATATGTGTCCCAGCAAGTTCAGGAATGTTTTTGCACACTGAGAACGGTTATCTTTCAAAAGTGCTTCACGGCCTGCAGAATCTGCATTTTCATATGCAGCAATAAAAGTACAGTCCTCTTGTGAAATCATCTGGGATCTGCATACAAAATAGAGTTAATATTAATATAAATATTATTTACATACATAAATGAATGACAATCTAACATGCTATGTAGGGCAGATACATAATACTCACTGAAGATATGATTGCCAATTGACTTTCTGGGATCTGATTTCACTAGCCTCTTGCTGCAAGGCACTTGTTGCGGCAAGCATATCTGACAAAATGATAGAAATATGTAAAGGAAAAGAATTAGGGCCGATGGTTAGAATCATTAACAATTGCATATGTCAATTTACTAACCTATCTTGTCATCAGGAATCACTGTTTGAACTAGTCCTGTTGCCATCTTGATGACGCTAGATCTACGATGGGCTTCTCTGAAAAAATTTTTGATCCCTTTACAACATGAAACTTCCCAAAATCAGCTGACCTAACCCGCCCACACCTCTGGCTTTGCACAGGGATCTTGTGATCTGAAGCAATGCAGCCAACATTAAAACGCAATGCGTAGCCTCCCACATAAGATCAAGCGACATGAAGAAACACCTTTAGCGACGGGGTTCGAATTAGTTCAGTCCACCAGCAATGACATTCAGGACTCTTTGCAGAAGAGCGCCCTGCGACCTTAAAATAGGATTCACTGCGGGTCAGAAATCAATAGATGGAATGGGAATTATGCTGGGTGGAGAGCAATTTCATTGGCTATTGTAGAACGTGCGCCCTGTTCAATTTGCTTCTACGTTCGCTTAAAAAGAACACTTGACCTGGTATTGTTTTAATAAAAATTGAGTGAAAATTTATTTAAATTCACACGATGAAAAATGTTAAGAAATTCGCATTTTACGATGCAGTTTGAAATGTAATGTTAATATTTTTGAGCACGAAATACACCTGTTTTAGAGCCTCTAAAATTCATGAGATCATCAATTGGGTCACGCAACCGTTTAAGAAAGAAATATTGTTTATTACAGATTTGTTATGAAGTTAAGCGTGACTAACTAACTAACTAACTAAATATATATATATATATATATATATA